ATCGATCTTTATACAACTACAATACATATAAACTTGTAATAAGCGGGAGATTCTTGCGGTAATAGCACTTATTTAGCCTATATATAATTGATTAATATAATGCGTTAGTTATAGAACACTAAGAGCGATAGGCAAAGCTAGCGTTCGAACACATTTATTCGAATCTCTAACTCGGAGCTTTCCGCGCGCTAGTGGCGACTAGTTACATTACTCGAAATCTTCGAAGTCTACCTCTTATTCGCTATCTTCCTCGTTATCTTCCTTAAATACACCCTTACCGTTATAATACACTTCCGATACGTCGTTAATTATCGATAGTAAGGTATTCTAAGCCTATTCTATCTATTAGGACTCTTCCGAGTCTAGCGCTATTATATTCTAAGCCGCGCCGGCGGTGTGTTCGAATTCGGCTAGATCGTACGGAATATCGAGTTATCGACACTATCGACGTTATATCTAGTAAACTTAAACAACTCTCTCGATCTGCGACCCCTATACTTATATAGGCACTAAAGCAAGTAGTCCTAGAAGCCGACAAATCTTAGAAGGTCGTCTCGGTATTTTTTAATAACTTTCTTTAGTAGATTAAAGCTGCCCTCGATCGGGTTTAAATCCGGCGAATACGGCGGTAGAAATTCGAGGTAATAGCCGGCATCTAGTATCGCCTACTTAACTCTCGCACTATAGTAGATACTAGCATTATTTATAACAAATATTATCGGCGGACTATCCTCGAGGCAAGGCAGGACTTGCTTAGTTAGCTAGAGATAGAAACGATTAGAATTAATCGATCCTTAGTATACGTAAGTATATAGAAGATAGCCGTATAGCGTAAACGCAGGCAACACTAACTATCTAACTTCTCGCCTTATATAGGCAACATTAACGCAAGTTAGACCTCTTGCCGACTATCTATACTTCCGCTAACTAGTCTTCTAATTAGATATAGTCTTATCGATAAATACGAGTCGATCTACCGGCTATTTAGCGTACCTAATCGTCTATAAAGCCCTTAAGAACGGATTACGCTCCTTCGCTTTACGTTTAACCTACTTACGAGTTATACCTATCTCCTACTTTAGGACCTTCGATAGTATAGGCGCCTTTACCTAAACACCCTCTCCGCTATTACTTATCGGTCGTAGCCGTAGAAACTCGTCCTTAAGAGCTTAGATTATCTCTATAAAATAGGCGTTAGGCCGGTCTTTAAGGAAGCCGCGTAAGAAGTTACATTCTTACTAAAGAAGGATAGCCTTGTTGCTACGCTTTAGTCCGCTAGTATACTTAGTATATAACGCTCCGAAGATGCGGTATTTCTCTTAATATCTATACACTAATCTAATAGTTATTAGCAACTTTATAAAGGCATAAACCTGCTTAGCAGTCTAACCCTTTGCAAACAGGTTTATTAGCTAGCCTTGCTAGTCGAGGTTTATGCGAGCGGACTTAACTATTACGGCGTAGCGGCAGTAACAATAACAATAACACCTCGGAAGGGTCTATACTACTAAAATACCGACGACACGATATCTACGATATACTAGAGGATTCTACATATTAGAAGGAGGAGAAAATATGTGCTTGTAGGCGGCTCCGCGTGCCTACAAAGTGCGAGCGAAGCTTCCGCCTTACATACCCTTACAGGTCGCTAGTCGTTGCAGGTCGCTGGTCGTTGTAGGTCGCTAGTCGTTGCAGGTCGCTAGTCGTAGTCGTTGCAGGTCGCAGGTCGCTGGTCGTTGCAGGTCGCTAGTCGTTGTAGGTCGCTGGTCGTTGCAGGTCGCTGGTCGTGGTCGTTGCAGGTCGCTAGTCGTGGTCGTTGCAGGTCGCTAGTCGCTGGTCGTTGCAGGTCGCTAGTCGCTGGTCGTTGCAGGTCGCTAGTCGCTAGTCGTTGCAGGTCGCTGGTCGCTGGTCGTTGCAGGTCGCTGGTCGTTGTAGGTCGCTGGTCGTTGTAGGTCGCTGGTCGTTGCAGGTCGCTAGTCGTGGTCGTTGCAGGTCGCTAGTCGTGGTCGTTGCAGGTCGCTAGTCGCTGGTCGTTGCAGGTCGCTAGTCGCTGGTCGTTGCAGGTCGCTGGTCGTTGTAGGTCGCTGGTCGTTGTAGGTCGCTGGTCGTTGCAGGTCGCTAGTCGTGGTCGTTGCAGGTCGCTAGTCGTGGTCGTTGCAGGTCGCTAGTCGTGGTCGTTGCAGGTTTTGTTATAGTTGGCATCAGGCACGTGATTTTCCGGAGGCTCAGTTCTGCCGTGCCGTCCCAGCAGTTCTTGTAGAATTCAGCCAATCAGAGCTTCAGCTTTCAGAATCCGGGGAATCACGTAGTGACAACTCGGCGCAATCAGCCACTGTGGTACCCTTGTTAGTGTAAGGCGAGCTTCGCTCGCAATAATTGAAAAACCACTAAAATAGCGGTATAGTTCCTCTCTCGGAGGTGCAGGGTTCTCCCCGCACCGGCACTGACAGGTTTTAGGCAAACGATAGTAGAAGAATTTAGAATATGCTCCCTTTCGAAAACCCCAGGGGGTTTAAAAGTAAGAACAGGGCTTCGATAGAGATAAAGGGAGCCTCAAGCAGACAGAAGGATCGCAATAAGGCGCAAATGCATACTGTGAGAAGGATAATGTCATGCCTTCCACGAATACACATAGCAGCCTGTCTAGTAGCCTACTAAGAAAAAAGTCATCTGAAAATGGAAATGCCACATCGAGCAAGTCACAGCTAGAACGAGCACATACTGATGTAGGACACGCCTCGGGCATGCGCATAGCACGTCACACCAGATCTGGCTCGCTGGCAAAGAACCGGCGAGGTGGACAAACAGCTGACCCGCGCCATTACGACGGGATGGAGTGAATGCGCAGCACATGGCTGTCTGAACGCCCCGATGTGGTTGGTTAGGTGCAGCTGGAGCATCATTCATCGCCAAGTGTCAGCCACTGGATACTCAGTTGAGCCAGCCCGGCTGGTACATGAGCTGCTTCCGTATGTCCGTGTCCGTGTTAAGAGAATTTGTCAGTCCTGGTCAACAAGCACGTGTGTAGCGTCGAGTCTAGTGCCTGCCAGAACACCTCCTGCACGTGTGTAGCGTCGAGTCTGGTACCTGCATATCGCGCAGTTCCGCGTGCACAGCGTGTGCGTGTGCCATGCTGCAGTGGCTGTGTGAGGGAAAAGCAACGCCCAAACAGCGTTGGCGAGTGCCTCTTCGCACGACCGAGGACTCGCATTGAACGTCGTATGCGATGGAAGATGCGTCGGACAAGCCGATATTGGCGGAAATATCATCGCCGTACTCCTTCATCTTGCAGGGGAGTGGGCGCATGGGAAAGCGATGATCGATCTCAAGCTCGGCAAGGCGGCAGGGATGAGGCCTGCAGGGCGGATGCTTACGACACACACATTGCGACGTCAACTTCCTCTCGGTGTTGCAGGGCAGGGCGGACAAGATCTGACAGGTCCTTTGCTCCTGAACGGGCAGATGCTCGATCACCGCCTCGCCATTGGTAATTGTCGAGGCTCGTAAGTGGAGGCCATTCTGAATGAGAGGACCTGAGCACACTGTATCTGAAGAAATTGATGGGCATCGATGCAGATACCCCAAAAGGGAAGCAGTGGTACGGGGCATCGTGCGCAGAATGAAAGCCCGTGGATCTGGACCAGCTGCGTCCTCAGATTGATGGTAGTGGCACCCGGATGCTGATCCGCGGGTGCGCCAAACGCCTTTCCGCTGTACGTCACCGACATCCCTGTCGAATATCTCGTCTCTCAAGGCGACGGCTGTGCGAGACGATCTCCACGGATATGCTCGGCTGGTCGCTGGATGTGTCAATGGTCAGGCGGCGAAACAAGCTGCGCGTGGACGATTAGTATCAAACCAAAAGCAAGGCTCGCTAAGCGTGCGCCTGCACAATGAATGGCGGTGGCACAAGGGCGTGCTAACTGCCTGTAATTATAAAGACCCTCTTCGAGGCCATTCCTTTCGGCAAGTCCATATGGCAGGGGCTTCAGCCTGCTCTTTGCAGCAAGTGTGCATTGGCCTTCTGCGCGGCGTCTAGCCGTCGACGTAGACGGTAGAACCCTTGACTCTTGAGACGCCTGACTGGGATTGTCAACAGAGTGTGTCCAGGGCCACGGTCTTGGGTCTCGGGAAATTTTGGTCGTTGGGACAATCAACGTCGTCTTGTAGAGATTGCGGACGACCGACCGATTCGTCAAATGCACAATGCAGCGCGCGCCAGTCGAGCGACGTCTGAGACTAGGCGAGATGAGATCGGGCAGCTTTCCAGCGCGACCAGGACGTCCACCCTGGAACGGATTGATCCAAGGCCAGCATCGTCGGACGCTGGCGAACAAGGCGCCACCGCGGGCTAATTCTGCGTCTCCTACTGAAAGGCCATGGAGGCACGAGGGTGCTGCATCTTGCTCGATCCGGTGCCCAGTACAGTGTTCGGCGGGCTTCTGGCTTGGGATCCACCGGGTCTGCGAGGCCCAGAAGGGTTGCGTTGACGTCTTGACCATCTTGTCTCTCATCTTTGCGACCTTGTGCATGCTGATGCGATGTGCAGCATCTGGATATTGACTGAGCAGGGTGCTAATTTGAGAATCAAAGAGATCTTCCGGACGACAAGAGAGGCCGTCGTGACGTTCTACAGTATATAACTTCCACCGCGCTCAGCTCCCATAGGATCGGTAGCTTCAACACCTTCGCCCAACTCGACCAAACTTTCCGCCAGCACACCGCTTCTCCACAGCAACAGCAACGCCGTCTTTGCCACATAAGGTTTCAAGTGGCTACACTGCCTACTATACAAGTCCGTAAGTCCTCCCACTTCCCCGGAGCGAGTGCACGCAAGGTCGCAACATGCTATCGTGGCTGTTTGGTGAGACCCTGTTGACGAAAGTTAGTAGTCCCATTGGCCGCGGAACTGCCTTCTTCTGCTTCTCCGACTCATCTTGAAACACCTTCATCAAGCATTTTCCTGTACACTCGTTCAGACAACACCCAATCACTTCAACATGTCGGCCTCCAACCAAAAGTCGTACCTCAGAGACGGTAACAACCCACGCGCTGTCGACGGCAGCCGGGACAAGAGCCGAAGCAGCCGACGCGATGACGACAAATCTAGCAGCAGGTCGAAGCACAGCAGTTCGTCTGGAAGACGCTTATCAGAGTCGCGATCGAGTCATGCGCGCAAATCATCCACAGCGTCGTCGTCAGAACGTCCGACCTTTGAGATGGACATCATCGGCCAACCTGCGAGGTCTATTGTCTTTGGCCAGACTGTAGAAACATCAGTCATGGTCAGCCTGAGATGTCCTTCTCCCGAAATGGTCGCCAGCTGCCGTAACATGGACACAAGCAGATTGATGGGGGTGGTCTCCCTGTTGGCAGATACAAGAAGCGGCGAAAGAGTCGCAGTCGAATGCGGAACTCTCACCGGCCAGAAGATGTTCGACTCAGTCCACGATGTACCACAAGAGGTCGCAGAGAGTCTTGCACGCAGCCAGCCTTGTCGATTGGCTCTGGGATACTTCACATTCCCGCAACTGCTCATTCGACAGCCTGGTGCATATCGGCTTCGGGTCACCTTAATCAAGCAGTCTTCTGCGGGAGGCTCGAGCGTCATCGCCATCGACAGCGAATCGATCAGGGTAGAGCGACGAACGACTGGTGGCAGCGGATCAACAGGCCGCAAACATGGTCGGTCATGATGACCTCTTTTACACATCGACAGCAACTTGTCTGACTTATTATTGCATGCGTATTGGCATGGCGTGTGGTGTTCTAAGGAAAAGTCATTTCTGGTTACTGGGGATTTCTGGGACGGGATTCGGGAGGCAACTTGTACTATTCATGCCCGAGCCAAAGGCAGCGCTGGGCGATGATGGTGTTGTGTAAAATCTACGACAGAAACTAGTGAGTATGGTCCGCAGGTGTGGCCATCAGTGTACATGTCAGACTCTCGTATGGGCATAGTCTACGGAGAAATTTGGGAATTTACAGTTGCACATCCAATCTGATGGAGGCGTTCTCTCTTCCTTTTTCGTTCTTCGTTGGTTCCTCTTCTGCTAACAGCGTATAGGCTTTGGCCGATGACTGAAGTACCTGGCTGTGGTGGGCGAGTGTCGAGCTCGCAATCGTATCACGGCAGGAAAGATAACGAATCCAAGTGTGAGTCGCCGACTCTAGGAGCAACGTCGATACCATTTCGCCAGCGAAAAAAAAAGCCATCTTTCGTTTACAAAGCAGAATTCGGACACTCATTACCGCATGAACGGTCTCCAAGGAATGAAACGCAGAATTAGGATCCGGTGATGGACCAGAACAGCTGATCTTTGTACGTATTCTCTCGGCATCAAGCAAGATGATAACAAACATCGAAATCCGAGACGCCTGCTCAAACGACTTGGAACCCCTACACGAGATTCATTCACACTATGTGCGAACTTCAGTCGCAAGCCTTCAGCTTGAGATACAAACCTTCGAGGAGTGCAAGCGCAAGTACGAAGCCTTGATTGCCGCGGAGCAGCCCTTCATCGTCGCAATCATTGATCAACACATTGTCGGCTTTGCCTACAGCAGCGATTTCAACGAACGACTAGGATATCAGCATACAGTCGAGGATTCGGTTTACCTTCATCCAGACCATCGGGGGAAGGGCTTGGGACGGATACTACTCCAGGCTGCTTTCAACAAGCCGAGAACGTTGGGCAAGAAGGTGGTCATTGCGAAGATGTCGATTCTGCCTGGACAGGCTCCAGAAGACAGCCCTTCTTGCCGGCTTCATCTGGCTCTTGGGTTTCGAGTGTTTGGCAGAATGTTGAGTGTTGGCTTGAAGCTGGATATTCTGGTTGATGTGGTCATTCTTCAGCTTGACCTTGTTGATGTTGCTGCGGTGACGAAGACTAGAGGATGAGGTATTGCCAAGCTTTGTGGTGTTGTAGCCGTCATTGCTTTGCTGTGAAATTACAACCAAGGTTTCTATTCACCTGGTATTTGATTTGGGCCATTCTGTGCAAGGCAAAGGCGTGTACCCATAACAAAGCACAGCCACATAATGTATACAGACATCCAAGAGATCCAATCTGTACATGTGGCTGCGTACAGGATTAGTGCTCCTGCTCGAGATTGCCAGAGACCAGTCGGATGCCGAGGAGTGCATTGAGGTTGTATTGAGGTTGATACCCAGGCATTATTATTGTGATCAAGGTGTTCGGTCTCTTGGGGGGGGGGGAGCAAGCATCTTCTAGTCATATGATCCATGCTACTGCATGCCATGTGCCCAACCCAACCCAGATGACAACTTCGGATCTCCACTTCACTTTCACCTTAATATTTCTACCAGGCCAGGAAAGACGGTGTGAACGAGCCATGTGGAAGGCTGCAACTTGGCTGCAAGTCATTGTTGATTCTGCACCGAAGCGCTGCAGAACACCATCTCGAAGGCAGCGCTTTTGCGGCGTGCTGGCACTAGACCAGTCTCGTGAATACTTCAGTACCAATGCGGCTTTTTTGGAGATCAGGCGGTCACCGCGGCTCTTTAGCATGTACATTTTTGCGACTGCTCGGATCTCGATATCAACGCCACAGCGGCCACCGACAAGCCAGTGGCTGCCAAACTTCTTTCATTCAGCTCTCGCTGGCACCATCGTATAAGCCTGGATTTAAGGCTGTTGAAAGAGTTTCAATAGTCTCGCAGCAAGGGCTTGCATTGAGACGTCCGTAAGGCTTTTAAGCCTGATGAGAAGAAAAGACTCCTGCAGTAAACAAAAGTTGATGTGGCGCGGCAAGTAACGGTCGCCGTGGATACAGTGGTATACACCCCTCACGGTAGAGAGCATGTGCCCTACAAGAGCGATGAAGCCAAATTTCCTGCCGCGGTGTACTGTCCTATGAGCCTTGTCATGCTGAGCGTGACAGCATTCCTTCAAGCCCCTCATCATCACTGCATCGCCCTCGCATTAAAGATGGAATGGCACGCGCTCATCATGCAGTTAGCCAAGTGGAAAAACCTACCATGTGCTTGAAGGCGCTTGCAGGCTCGACTTCCAGCCGAGTCGTCAGCGTACATCGGGACGCCGCCTGAGTTCTGCAGCCGAGTGGGTGCACGGTTCGGAGTCTACTTCTAGATGGCTGTGGCGTCGAAAGACACGGGCGAATCTGAGACACGTACAGCCTCTCTGCGATCTGTAATGGGCGTAATACGATCCGAGATCGCAAGGCAGGCAGTATAGACAAAGGAAAGACAGGGCGGTTGTAGGCATGATGATGAGTGTTCTTGTTGGGCTCAGGAAAGAACAGATCGAGGCCGAATCACGAACAGTCGTTTAAAGATGCCAGGGTTCAGAATGATGTGCACACGCTTACGACCGAAAGGTTCCGAAAACCTCATTCCTTCCTCCACCGCTGACAGATAACGGTACGTGGAAAGATGTTCAAGTAACGTTGCCAGAGCGACTTCGGGTCCTCTGCGAACTGATCTAATAACTCTTACATCTCATCGTTGAAGGGTAAGGTACATACTGTAGCAATAGTCCTGCCCAATCGCCTGCTGGGTATCTTTTTGATCTCACGTTCCTTCGCGCCAAATTAACGCCAATACTTCATGCCTCTCCATCTTCCCTATAGCCTTGCGGCCCGCGGTTGCCACTTTGGTCTGTTCAATTCATACAATAATGTGAATCCAGTCAACTCTGCCCTCTGCTAGTAAGCTTCGTAGAGCCGTTTCGACCCCGTTGTGGCGTTTGCCAAGTCGGGGTAGTGTCCCTTCCTGACTCAATAGTGCGTTGAGGGGCTGTGTGGGCGAGCCTTTCATGTCGTCTATGCGGTGGTGCAACGCGGCCATGCATGAAGCCGGCGAGCCGGCTCGCCACTTAGGCAGAGGTGGGAGTGATATGTAGAATGGATGGTTTGAGACCGAACCAAATGGGTGGTTCGTTTGTGAATAAGCAATCCGGAAGCCGAGACCCTAACTCGTCGTTCGCCTAAAGCAAGCCACGTTCCACCTTCCAGAGATCGAGGGCCAGAGATGGTGTGTCTTTGATGACAGAGAAGATGTCTTGAGTGTTTGCCAGCTGAGGATGGCTCCTGAAGAGCTGTAGAATGACATCCCGTAGACCTCGATCCTGATCAATCGTCGATGTGTAGACGTACTCAATGGCATCTGCGAGTTCGGGTGCATCGTAGTAGCATGCCGCTGCCATTTCGAACTTTCGTTTTGATAGGTACTTCAAGGACGGAATGTCATATTTCTCAGCCAACGCATAGACCTGAGCATGAAGAATCAGGTGCGATTCGTCTTCCGTAGACTCGTATCCATCGTCGTATTCTTCTTCGCTGAACATCTCTTCGATTTCTGCTGGGGGTGTGCCGGCGCGCATTCTGACTGGTGATCGAGGCTTGTCGAAGTCGAAGCTTGATCGCCTATCACTGTGCGCAGATGCTGGTGGCGTGAGAGGATCTGGGACAGCGTACGAATTTGCTTGTGCCATCAGAGGATCTTCGATCTGGGAGAAGTCCAGCTTCTTTTGTGCTCTTCGCCTTTGATCGGAGTATGCACGATGTCGGAACATAGCGGATGGTTGCTGCTCGGGTTGTTCGTTCAGGTAGTCGAGGTAGTAGAAATCTATCCGATGCTGGTTAGCAAATGGGCCGACGATGATCCTCAGCTGGCTGGCATGTGTGTCGTCAACATACAGTGGATCATTTGATCAACAGCATCCTCGTCGTCTTCGCTCAAGTCAATGACACCGGTGCTCGACTCCTTGAATTGATGCGAACATGCGCCGTCGAAGAAGCCGCTTCGAGAGCACAAAATGGCTCTGTGTACAGCCCATTGCTTGTTGTTGCAAGTAATGGTAAGATCAGAGAAACGTCCGCCGACATGCAGCCTGCGTTGAGTGTAAGCACCGCCCATGGTGAAGAGGTTGATTGGAGGATCAACACGCACGCTGCGAGAGCGCTCATAAGCTCATTTTGAGCATTCGAATCTGGGCCAGGAGAGGTGGGCGACAATGCCATGGTGCGTCAAGTTGGGTCACGTTTCGCAGGGAGTGGGCGACGGCGGGGGATGGGGATCCGAAGGGCTTCTGAACTTGTGAAGAACGAGTTCCGGACGCCGGCAGGAAAGGTGAGGCCAGGCAAGGCTAAGCGGTCGTCGATCGTTTCGCGTGCGGTGGGCGTGTCGATAGCAACGGCGGTGGAGGAAGTGCTGTTGATAAGTTATCGATGCGATGCTTTGGAGCTCGTTCGATGGGGTACGGTGGATGTGCGGGCTCGCAAGTGTGCGGGATCCAGGTATATACTGCTCCCAATACATCAGCCTGTGTAGCCCGCCGACCAGGGTGTACCTACCCACGCCCACGCCTGTGCCGCTCATCGCTATGCGTGTGTGATGATGCAGGCCAGACAGAGTTGGCGCTAGAAGGGCCAAGCACTGGACGCGTTGCTCGAGCCGCAGAGCCCAGCCGTCGTCTCTCGCCAAAACTTCCACCGCCGGGACCACTGTGGCACCGTCCTCCGTGTCTCGAATTTCACGTGCCTGCTGTGGCTCTCTGCCAGACGAACAGTGGCGGAGAGCCGTACTCTCCTATCTTCGAATCTCGATCGCTCTCTGCAGCAGCACGCACACATTGCATCCGGAAGGCGCTGAGATCTCAGCTGATACCGCGACCGGCTTGACCTGGAACTGAGATGAGATTGTTTAGAAGGGCGACTACGAATAGGAACAGGCCCATCCCATGGCCCGATGATGGCTGGAATACAACACAGCCTGCAGACCGAAGATGCCAGACATGGCTCAGGCCTGGATTGAGGAACAGGGACCGTGGAACCAAACGTAGCAGATTGCACCATGCCGTCTCAGGACGGGACAGCCCGGTATGGAGGCTGTGCCATCATGCTTTGCGGAACGTTCGGCGCAAAAAGACCCTGCGATGGACGTACGTAATAGCATCTAATGAGAGCTGGAACAGATTGCGAACAGTGGCAGCGAACAACATCGTGGCTACCATCCGGCCAAACCGCTGGTGCAGCACGTCGCACCTAGCCGCGTTCTTGGTGCCATACATGTCGTTCCTTCCATGTGGCAAGTGCATAGAGATGTCAAAGCAGGGTCTGATGCGCTGGCTCTGTCAACGGCTCCTACGGCCTACCTTTCACAACAGCAGTATTGTCGATCTGCCATGTTTCGGTGCCAGTAAGGAGGGTCTGCTGTGTCAGGCTCCTCATGTCTTGGAACTGCTCTGTTTCGTGAGAGGAGCATACATGTAATCCAACCAATTTCGGCCCAATTGCAGTCTTGATTGTTCACAACAACATGTATGCGACCAACTCAACGTCGGTACCTCGACGTCACTCTGTCAAGGATGTCAGTCGGTAGCGAACATGAACCGTAGCATACGATCCGGCAGCGAGATTCCTGCCTTGGCTTGACCAGCATGTTCTACATATCATCTTCCCTGGAAAATGCCATAAGTAGATGCGACCACCTTAGACTTCCGGCAAATTTCACTACCTCGTTTACCTCCTTCTAGAAGCTGTGTAACAAAGCCATGTCCTCGCAGCGGGGAAGGGCGGAGTGAACAACGTTGTCAAAGATGGCATAGATAGACTCAGATAGCAACGGATCCTAGGACCCAGATCGGCAGAGGAACAGGGTCAGGCCGGAGCGTTCCCGGTACAGGTAACAGTCTAGCCTATTTATAGCGATATTATATATACTAATATCCTAGCTATTACGATTTTGATCTTGCTAACTAGCTATTTCTAGTAGCTATACCGCTATAACGTAACAATAGCAATTTACTAATAATAGGGGTTAGGTTTAGTAGGTATCGGTTTCTATATAACTAGTTTAGTCGTATAATCGGCTAGTTTAGGTCGTATATTAGGCTAGTTACTATAGAGATTTTAGTCGTCTTTAACCTCTACTATTTTAGTAGTAATAATAGATCTTAGATAGCTTAATAGTATAAAAGAAGGTATACTATAGAAATATATATAGTAGATAGACTAAACTAAACGCTATTCTACTATACTACTACGCTCTATATATACTATAGAATAGAAGCTTCTTATTTACTAGAAGAAGGCCGATAACCCTCTTATAGACTAGAAGTAGTTAGCTATATAGTTTAGTAATAGGATATATCCTAGTAGCTCTATAAAGTAGAATACTATCTCCGACTAGTTGTCCGCTAAATACTACTATCTTAGTACTTAGGTTATAGGTTAACTAGGCCGAAAGAAGGCGCGTAGAGAGCTATATCTAGGCCTTAAGACTAAGCTATATAGATAGATTATCGATAGGTAGAGAAAGACGACTATTACTAGCGATTTAATCTAATAGAAGGCAACTAAGTTCTAGAGGCGCGATCCAGATTTTACTAGCTTAGATATACCTAAATAGAGTAATAGATAGCTTACTAGGTTTAAAGGGCAATATAGTATTAAAGAGAGGATATAGTATAGCGAGGCTAGCTCTATAAACCTTACTATAAGTTACTAATATAGAAGAAGGTATAGTAAGACTAAGTCTATTTTCGAGAAAGTAGATTATAATAGTAGAAGGAGGCTCTACTATAGGGCTATAGTAGAAGCGCGGCTTAGAAGAAGCTAGAGCAAACGGCAAGCCTATAGAAGTAGTTAGAAGCGCTAGTACTATATACCCTACGCTCGTTCCTACTAAACTAGTACTAATAACGTATTTATATATAAACGAAAATCCTCGAAGAATGAGCTAAATACGCCGATATTAATAAGTATAACGTCGACGAGACCGCCTTCTTCTAGTAAATAGTACTAGACCGTAGTCTTAGTACGGAAGCCGTATCTAGAGTTAAGAAGGATAAGGCGCGAGTTATAGTAGCGCTAGTTTGTAGTGCGATAGGAGAAAGAAGACTATTACTATAGATTATTAGAAAATGTAAGAAGGGTTATATTAGTAGGTAAATAGGGTAGTAGTAAATTAGTATAGTATTCGATAGAGATCTAAGAGGAGAGGGAGGAAGGCAGGCTAGTTAGCCTAACGCTAAGCGCTAAGCCCTGCCTAAGGTATTAGGACCCTAGCTTTACTCGGTCTAGTTATATGCTAGTTACGTGTAACCTCTAATACACGCTTCCCTTCTAAGGCCGCGCCCTCGTAGCCTGTCTATATTCTAACCTAATCTCCGTTACCGCTAACTTAGCAGATTAACTAAACTATTTAGCCGCGCTAAATTAAACGCTTAACTACCTAATTATATAACTATGTCAAACCTTACCTTCTAGCACAATGTCTAACTTCTAACTACGCTATTACTGCTACTCGTAATAATAAGGGGTTATATAGCTATATAAATTAAAGGCTAGCAACTAATTATAATACGAGCGCACCTTCCCTACTATAATAGGTAGGTATACGGGGTATTGTAGCACTGCCCCCGTTCTAAGTAAGGTTGTCCGAGTTCTTTATAGACCCCGTAGTAGTTCGGGTTAGTTTGGTTTAGTTTGCTAAGCCGAAACTCTAGTTTAGTTTAGGTTGGTTTGCTAAGCAACTATATAAGTAGCTAGTTCGAACTATATAATTTATCGGTTTTTAAGAAGTATACGAATGTATACGTAGCTTTAAGCAAGCCCTTTGTAAGACTTAGCAGTATAGCCGGCAGCGTAGCCGGCATTTTTAGTCCTTAGTACTTATAGAATTTTCGAATCCTACTTAGGCTACGTAGTTGTATAAAGGTACTTATATAACCTCAAATCTATAGACAATTAGCTAAGGGCACTAACTAATCAAAAGCATATATATATATATATATATAAGGCATTATAGTTTAGTTCGGAAACTGTACTCCTTAGGTATAAATTTCATCCTTTCGTTTACGGTTCAATTCCCTAACTGCTTAGTAGAATGTCTTTATCTAGATCTAGGTAGAACTTATCGATTTCCGTCGAAGCTCTCCTTAAGAAGTTCTAGCACTTTCCTACTAAACTATACTCTAATATTAAGTACTAGGATAGCTCCTCCCTCGATATCGGCACTATATACGAAACAGCTATAAGGCAGCTCTATAAGGCGTTCTACTAGTTATTCGCTATACTACGGCCGAATACTAGTTCGTTCCTTAGAACTCTAGGTTATTTAGCAGATATTAAGGATAGGGTAGGCAGTAACTTCGTATTATATAAGGAAGTAGAGGCTACTATAGAGGAGTCCTTTAACCTATAGAAGATAGTAGAAGATATAGAGGTAGCTATAGGTCTAGGTACCTAGTTAAATTTCTAGTAGGTAGAGTATAAGGATATTTAGTAGGAGTATTAGGTAGAGTTGCGAAAGCAGGTATATAATATAGTCTAGAGAATAGGGATAATGCCTATAACTATAAGTATTAGGTTCTTTAATCTTCCTCCTTTTTTCCTTATTTTCTTTTTATAAAAATCTAAACTAATACAAATTAACTAGAATATCTATCTTCTTTTAGTTCTTTATAAGACCTAGTAGCGTAGCCGGTAGCGTAGCCGGTAGCGTAGTCGGCCTTTTTACTCCTAAGTACTAACGGGTTTTTCGAAGACTTCTATTCTATACGGCTAATAAAGTATACTATACTATATAGGTATACTTAGAGAGTATTTAGAGCGCGGTATATAGCGCCGTATAATAGCGGCTTATTTCGTATATAGAAAAGCTTATAGACGACACTACGAACATCCTTCCTACTAGTATATCTATCCTATCTAGCACTATCTCGAATATAGACATTCTAGCCTTTTAGAATCTAATCGAGTACTTTGAAATCCTTGTCTATAATCGTTATACGCTTCGCGTAGATAGCTATAAGGTTAACCGCTAAAATAGTATTAGTATAGTCCGAAAAGAGGTAGAAGAGAAATATACATTCGAAGATACGAACTAGATAGGCTTCTATAGCCTCTTAAAGGGCGCCTATCGCGGAGGCTTAGAAGCGAAGGTCCGTTCTATAATCCTAGGCAATTTCGCGAATAAGTCGTTAGAAAGGAGCTTTGCGGATTAGGAGCTTAGAACTCTTCTAATACTACCGAATCTTACGGAGGGCTACGGCTAAAGAAGGATTAGTAAAAAGACAGTAAGAATGCCGGCTACGCTACCGGCTACGCTACCGGCTACGCTGCCGGCTATAAATAGGACTTACTTCCTAGGCGTTATCGACGCTTCGTACGATTGCTACTAGTAGTAGAAGCGCTAGTTGTCGTCTTACGTAGAGCCTTGCCTACCGTTGTCTTACGCGGAGCCTTACTCG